ATGCTGGCTGGGGAGTTCTGGGAGTTGAAGTCCACCCATCTGAAAGTTGCCAAGGTTGAGAAAGATTGCTTTAGTTTTGGCAGCTTCCAAATGATAGGAACTATGCTTATCTTTTATTTGCATTGGTTGAACTTTGTCATGAGGATTCTGCACACAATACTTGAAGGAGGGTTCAGAGAAGGGCGGTCAAGATGGCCAGGGGACTAGAAATTAAAGGCTCTGAGAAGAGGTGGATGGAAATGACCGTGCTGAGCTCCTGACCAGCCTTGTCTGGGCTCTGTAGCTAAACAGGGTGGGCCCTTGTGAGTGCTTGGATGGAGGGCTATCTGGGAATTCAGGCTGTTGGCTAGACTAGAAAGTCAAGAGAACATCTGGGGAAAATGCCGTGGCAAACCATTCCTCTAACCCTTCCAGGAGAAGGAGCATACAAGCCATCTGTCACCAGGAGCTAAGCTGAAGTCAATGGCCTAGTTACATTTTGTTAGCATCTAAAGGTACTTGTAGAAGAAAGGGGTGTCCTTCTCCTCTATTTCTCATTGGGCCAATCCTAGTGCCCTGATTTTTTTTTTTTAATAAAACAGCAATATATCTTTATTAAGTATCTGGATAAAAAAAATGGTGAGAAGGTAATGTTGGTAGGATGTAAGCTGTGCTTCTGTTTGCCCCAATTATTCTGGGCTTTGTTAGTAACTCTACTGGTACTATTTTAAATCTAGGTTTTGAAAGCAGCTATAGTAGACAAAGTAGTTTGATTATACATTTCTAATATATAAAAGAAAATAATTTATGAGTGGAAAGGAGGCATTAATTCTTATTTTATGTTGTTCTTTAGGTCTTGCTGAAAAATGGATGATGATTACTTTGGAGGATTTGAGGTACGGAAGTAGGAATATTTAAGGTTTGGCCAATGATATTTTGAAATAATTAAAGCTATGTAAGGCACTCTAGCAGTCTAAATTTGAAAGCAGAGCAATTGATAGTTATGTGTAAATTATTCAGTCATCTGTAATGTGTAAAATTCTAATTATTATGGTTGCACCAGTTGTTAAGGAAATACCTTTTACATTTGAAACGCCCCTGGGATGTTTTCAGCAACTCCTTCTCTGAATATCAGTTGTGTAGGTACAGTTTCTCCAAATGTTCAAAACTGGACCAGAAATTTTGAGCGTGTCTGAGGAATGTTTAGTAAGTGATTGTTTTCGCAGAGTTTGAAGCTAGCTCATACTCTTTCCCCCTCCTTACCCAATTGGCTTGTTTTTGTGTTTCAAAACTGATCTATTTTGTCAGAGCCTGGCTTTCCGCATCCTGATACGGTGGTGCTTTTCTTGAAGAAGAGGGTCTCCTTGAGGCCCTCCAGAGTCTCAGACGCTGCCGCCGAGGGAAATGTGAAATGGGGTCTGTTTGACCAAACTCGGGATCGCATTCTACAGCGTCACTAGTGCTACATTTTTTGTGGGGGTGGCATTTCATCTTTTTTTCCCCTTTTTCCTAAGGGAGTGCCAAAAGTTAGGAATACAGGAAGCTGGTTTATACTGGTCGGGGGAGTCATGCCAAGAGAGCGAATTTCCTGACCGTTGGGCCAATGTTTAATATAAAGTTATGCAAACTTCACATTTTTATATAATATTGAAAGAAAATATTTTTGGCATAAATAAACAAGCAATCAGGATAAAGTAACAGTGCATTTTCATATGCTGGTGCACTAGTAAAACAGAGGTGGAAGATGTCACAGATGTTGATCATATACTGTAGCCGATGTTAATTCGTTTGTTGAAGGTGCCAGGGGGATTTCGGTGTGATTGTTTTCTTTAGTATCACGTTATTAAGGATGAACGCATCTCTTAAAAGATGAATACGGGAAGTACGATGTCAGCCAAATTGCGGTCTCAGTAACAGTTTAAACGTTGTGAAAATGCCTTTCTACCGAATCGTATAAAAATGGTGCCATGAAGCAGCCCTGCCCAGCATCCGGGAGCCGAGGGCCGTGTGTGTGGCTACATTGCAAAATGCAATTAGGCTGAGAGAGAGAGAAAAAAACTAGATTTGAGGTGGCTGAATCCAAGTAAAATAAATCGGCGTGCACGCTTGCGTTTTGGCGGGCATGGGGGCTCCTGCCTGCAGCTCCCTAAAGCAGCTGGACCCTTCCCAAGCCGGAGTGGGAGTTCTCCGGCCCCTTTGTGGAACTGAGTCGAACGGCCCAAGACAGAGTTTTCTGCCATTCAGAGGAGCGGTATCTCTCCACAGAAATAGAGATAGACTTTAGCAGAAAGGCGGAGGAAAAAAGCACGTTCCATTATATACGTCTAACTTGATTTAGGGAACTGCTTTTTGGCGCTTATTGGGGCATTTCCGCATGGTCACCAAGGCAGCCCTTACCTAATTCAGGTTGGCATAATTTGGAAGTCCTCCCCTCTTTAGGTCGACGGACGCTTTTGGAAGTCCAGTTTGGAGTGCGTGAAGAGCCCTCTTCCACCGCGTCTGGCTCTGGGGGAAGCGTGGCCCCAGGGATGCTTGTGGAGGGGAGATTATGCTGGGAGCTCTTTCGGTGGGCTGGCTTCCCATAAATTATTGACTTAAGCATTTAAGAATCTGGTGGGCCCGGGAGCTGCCAAGGGAAGCGTGGCTGGACCCGTCGGAGCCACAAGCACCAAACTGGGGACTGAGCGGGACTCCTGGGAAGTTCTTTGAATTGATGATGTGTCGGATGAGAACAAAGTGAGGAAAATACTATGCCTAGTTTAACAATATGTCTTGCACTTTCAGGCAGCAGAAATCTTTTTTAAAGATGGAAATGGTGAACCCCAGACCACTTCTCCCGCTATTCCTTGGGCAGCATTTTCCACAGGTATAGAGAAATATCGGTAATTTTTTTTTTGTGGTTTCCTGTGAGTTTCTTCTACTACTTTACTGTTCAATTTGGAGCATCCAAAATATAAACCATATAACCATTACCATAAATGTAACAATCAGTACATCAATACATTCTGCACTTGCTCTGGTTTGGTAAATAAATAATATACCTCTGAAATAAGCTTTGCAATCATTTTGAAACTTATTTAACTGCTGTCCTTGTTAAAGAATTCTTTCTGACAAATGAAAATATGTAACTCTGCCTTCTGGATCTCTATTCAGTGCTCGTGTGAAACTTAGAGTAACAAAGGGGTAGGCAAACTGGGGACATCCAGATGTTTGGACCGGTAACTCCCACAGCTCTTTTCCAGCAATCCACTTGGCCAAGTTCAAAATATATGGAGGAGACCAGGCGTTGGGGATCATACGCAACTAATCCCCCTCCAAGAATTCTTAGAGGCATTATTTATTCATCTACTGGGCTTATATGGCCCTTTGGTCATTATGAACTCTAATTGTGAACTCTTCAAAGTTTATTCGCATTAGAAATCTCAAAAGTGAGGACTCTGGGGAGACATGGGCTTCTGAAAGGCGAATGGAAGAACTGCCTGCTGCATCTCTTCATGGTTGTCAGCTCTGATCATTTTTCCCTCCAGCAAGTAACCCTGCCTCCGCACTAGGCATGACTAAATGACTCTAGCATTTCCTAGAATCTAATCTTCCAGGAATCTATTGAAATTAGAAGGGGATTGGATTGTGTATTTCATAGTGTATATATTGCTGTTCAAATTGGTTTCATGTGGCTTCATAGCAAACAGGTCAGTTCTACATGTTGAATTATACATAATGCTAGAAATTAGTAATTGGCCAGTGAAGAAGTTGAAGCTGAAAAAAGAAATTGGGGTATTTCAGCACATCGACGATGAAGTAGTTACAGGAAAGAAAGATAGATTTTGGAATGGCCTGTTCACTCCCCAGACTTGAATATTGTTGAAAATCTGTGGGAAGATCTCATACAGGCAGTGGATGCAAGGAGACTGATGACTACTTCTGAACGAAGAGAGTTCTGCAAGGAAGAGTGGGAAAAAGTTCAAAAGCAAGAACAGAAAGACCCTTAGCTGGCTACAGAAAACATTAGGCTGATATTTCTGCCAAGGTGATGCTGTAAATTACTGACTGAAAGAGTGTCCAAACTTTTGCACCTGTCATTTTCACTAGTTTCTTCTCCTGAATCTATAAGCATCAGCACAGAAACATTACGCATGCATTCAAATTTGCAGAAAGATGTTGTGTTTAACTCTGTACCACATAGAGGTTGTGCCAGCTTCTGTTCAGTTAGGGATTTATTAAAACATACAATTTGACCACTGGTGCCTAAACTTTTGCATGCAACTATATATCCTTGTGCACATAATTCTTGTATTTATAACTAAGCTGGCTTTAGTTCTACATTTCAGTGGTGGGTCCCTCCCTCCCAAGGCAGCTTCAAAGCTGAATGCACTTCAGCTCTAGTTGTGCTCTGGCATTTATGCCAATGCAGAGTAATTCTGGTGTTTCTTGTTTATTTGGTGTTACTCTATTCTTGATCAAAACGTTGCAAAACACCTTGGAACTCTTCCATAGTTTGGAACCGTTGTGCAGAAAAATGCAAGCAGAGAGAGGGGAAAGAATGTGGCCGAGGATCTTGATTGGGACAAATGCTCGAGTGAAGTTAGGATACAGTAGTCCTGCCTTTTATTTCATTCACACAATGATGGAGATAGTTGGCTTACTTGGTTTAGGAGAGAGATCTTAGACCAGTGTTTTTCCAACTTGGCCACTTGAAGATGTGTGGACTTCAGTTCCCAGAATTCCCCAGCCAGGAATTGAAATCCACACATCTTCAAGTGGCCAGTGTTGAAAAACATTGTTTTAGAGCTGTCTTTATTTTTTCAAGGACTCCGTGTGCTTTGAGTTTCTTCACTGGAACTGACTGGATGAGCAGAAAGATGAGCGAGGCCCCCTCAGTCCTCTTGAACATTTCAGAAAAAAAGTGAAATTCTCATGTTTATAAATACTTTAATAAAATAATGTTTTCAATCAATACTGTCTTATAATAAGGGTTATTACAATGTGTTTTCCCCATACGTATGAAATTACATGGTATTTGTCTTGGGTTCTCGAGATGCCTTACCCAATAATCTTTATAACAACTTAGTGAGATGTTATATAGTGGAGGAGAGGTCAGGAATAAGATGTCTGATTTTAGAATGAGTAGAGAGTTGATCTATGCAGTTTTATGCTTCTGTCTGTATAGAATGTGCAGAAAACTAGACGCTGTGCAAATTCACTCAGGGTTGTGCAGGATAGACGCCAATTAACCAATGTCAGTTTGGCCCACTGCCTACGCCGTTTTCCAAATCAGCATCACTGCAGAATGTATAGAAGTCGTACCGGACATTTAGTTTTCTTCCATATCTTTCCTGCTATAATTTGTAGGCCAAATGTACCAGCTTGAATCGTACACAATTCCCTGTTCATATTAAAAGCAGACAGTTATTTTTATGAGGCATCTCTATCCATCTCATATGCATTCCAAAATACATGCATAAAATATGCACTGTGTTACGGGCATATTTATGACAGGCCCTCTTTTACAGAGAAAACAATCTGAAACTTTTACTCTGCGTTTTCTCTCTTGCTATCATGCTGTTGCGTCAGGGAAAACCATGAGAACTCGTACCGTTTTATTGAAAAAATTATATTGTGTGCGTGTGTGTGTAATGTATGTATGTAAGTAAATGGTAAACTATTTTTGGTAAGTAAATACATGCAGAACCAACCTATTTTATCCTAAATTTTCTCTCAGCAGTTTTAGTAAGCAACTTGGTATTTCATTTATACTATAATTCATGGTAGTTTGTTGAATTTCTTTGGCTAGTAAACCAAGTTATTATTTTTAGCTTCTCAGCAAGATACGAACTTTTAAAAAACATATGTCCACTGAACTTCTTTTCATTTCCCTTGCATTCCTTTCGGTTGCTTGCTCCGTACAATAGTGCCTGAAATTCTTGCACCACCGACGGCCTCTGCCGAGCTGCTCCCGAAACAGGTTCCAGCCTCCTTTGTTTCTTCGAGGGCTGAAGTGCCAGTAGACGCTCAGCTTCCACCCGGGGCAGCTGATCTTAAAGAGCAGGTAAAATGATCTCATGTTTATTTCTTTATGCATGGAAGGGTACTTTTCAAATGTACCCACGGACTTGTGAGTAGATCACTGTCGACTTAGTGGGACCTGTTTATGAACAATCGTGCATAAGATGCCGTGACCCGAATGTCTTGCCAGAGATACTGTGTTGTCCCATACCCAGTTGTCAGGACTGAAATTTAGATTTTAATCTGTCTAAAGTTAACTAAAGCATTTCCTATCACATATAGAATTACAAGAAGTCAAGGCGCAGCTTAAGGAAAGGGTAAGGAATTAATGTGCATAAGAATAGTTGGACATTTCCCCTTTAAAGAGGAAATTACTTAACTATTTTGCTTTTCAGTGTTTTCTGAAATTGGAAAAAAATGCTATCACGAATCATTCGAAATGGAGAAATACTGATCTAAAATCTTATGGGGCCTGCTAGTGGCATGGCTGTTTAGATAGATAATTTAGTCGATGCTTTTGAGAAGCATCAGAGTGTATCTATTTCGAGATGTGCTAGAATGTAAAACATGACTTAGGAGTATGTTTCTGTGAAAATAACACCACATTATTAAGTCTGACATCTGTACATTTCAGTATTTTGTGTCTCCCATAAAATAGGTTGCCTTATCAATCGATACTTCTTTGACCGAAGATCTGGGAGCAGCTTCTGCTAATTATGATGAAAACAATACAAAACCGAGATTAAATGAATCTGAAAAGCATCTTCAACAAACCCTCTCAGCTCTGGAAAGTAAACTTCAAACAGCAGATGAAGAAAAAGGTAGAATAAAAAAGGTATAGCTACAAGTCTACGGAGTCATCCGTTGCTGTGTGTGTTGTTGTGGATCTAGCTGGCGAGAGCCTCGGTCCAAATCTCCGTCTTCCGTTGCTCACCCATCCTTTTGGTGTCTTGACTGGAAGCCTTGAGCGCTTTGGGGAACAAGGTGGGAAAAAAAGGATGTTTTTGGTTACTCCTTTTAGGTTTACTACAAATTAGACCAAGAGTGGCAAGTGTAGCCCATAATTATAAAGAGATATATTTTAATATAATTCATTAATTTTTTTTTAGGAGTTAGAAGATCTTTTGGAAAAATACCGGATTTTGGAAACCAATTTCCTGAAGGAAAAGGAAGATAAATTAATTTCACATCAGGATATATACAACAAGCTCCAGGTAATGTTTTAAGCCTTTTTCCCCCCTGAGGACATTCTTGATTGTTCTGGTAACTTATAGGCCTAAGCATAAACAATGATATAATGGAAGTGTCAATCATAGAGAGTTATAACTGAAACAAAAGTTGTGTTTAACAGTTAGCATTTCTTTCTCTCCCTACTACCTGTCATCAACTTTGTAAACTCAGTTTTCCATCTATTTTCGGAGCTTTGCACAATTTCTGAATTAATCGGGCCAGTAAAATAAATCTCATATTTTTTATGGGGGTTTGTAGCACGTCCTATTTTCTTATTTTTTACCTCTTATTGAATTTATGCTCTGCCTTTCTGCTGATGTAAACACTCACAGCAATGCCTCTGCCTCGCCCTTGGTTTTTATAATGAATTGAAAGTAGAATAAAAATACAGTTCTTTTGCATAAAAAGAGGTAAGCAGAGACAGTGTCTGGTGGGAGGAGAACATGAGGGGGTGGTTGGCAGGAGTCTGGTAGACCAGGGTGACTACTCTGCTCCTCGGAGGCCTGCCTGGCAGCCGTTTTGAAAGAGCGTGACATGATTTCAGAATACACTCGGCAGCCCAAATGAGGTGGAGATCCTTTACTTATTTTCTTCTTTGAATATTATGGAGAGGTATGATCAGCAGAATAGTTTTACCTACTTTTTTATTATAGAGTTACCTTTCCTCTCTCATATAAAAGGATCAGTTCATTGAGTCAGTACCATAGAATTCTAAAGCTGGAGGGGATCCCTAATGCCCTCAAGTCTTACCCTCTGCTTGAGGCAGGAATCGAAATTAACCCTTGGCGTAGCTGCCAGCCTTCTCCTGGGGACAAATAGATGGGCACACAAAGAGGCAGGAATGCCTGATTTCTTGTAGAAAAGCTAAGCACCCGTTACAAAAGAATTCCACTGACTGCTGCATATCAAAGAGAAAATAAAACGAATGAACCATTGCTTCCATTGTTTCTAAAAGTTTTTTAAAAATGCACTCCTTGGCTAATTCTGTTGAAAGTTGGGTAGTAGATGGCAGTCAATGTGGACAACTCTCCCAGCTATATTTCTTCCCATAGGGTGAGAGACGGTGGGCTTACGGGCTTCTATTGAGTTCCCATTGTGCCTAAGGAGGAACTTTCAACCATTTTGATGTCTGGAATTCTCAGGGTGTTCAGACTTCGGCTGCTTTGAGCGCATCCCTATAATTCAGTCCTGCTAACCAGGGTTAGAATAAAGAAGAGGTTTCTAGTGACAACCAAAGCAGATAATTTTCAGTGAATTTTGTTGGAAGTTCTGTCAACTGATGCGCTTCATGCTGTGCAGATGGCTTCGTGGTGGGAACCAGCAAACCTCTTTCTGTAGAGATTTACTATTTTTTGTAGTCCTAGGTTTCTTAACATCAAGAGTACAAGAAGGTCAAAGAGGCAATATTTTTGAACCATTGTGTACTCACTTACCTGCTCCTTTTTGTATGAAAATAAAATGCATTTGTTAAAAAAGAAGTAAGGGGCATAGCTGATTTGAATAGTGTCTGTTATTCAGTTTATCGAGCGGTTGGTGCTGGTTGTATCCCTTCTGTATGTTTATTGTGTTTATATATCAATTTTTAAAATCCCATCAATCTGTTGAGAACTAAAAATCTCTATTGGGATCAATTTTCGTGATATAGAAAAACAAAAGAAACTTCATTTCTCAGCACAGAAATGAGAAATATGAAGATGGATTATCACGGCACGGCCATAACAGATGGATTGCTTTTAATCCAAAGATTTAGTCAAAGCTCCTACTTTAACCTAGTTTAAGCTCCAATGAACCTTCATTGCTAAGGCTTTTGTCGTCCCCCCTGGCCCCCCATTTTTTGTGTTCAGAATGAAGCTTGAGTCCAGATGGATAAGTGAGTCAGACTTTCAGGAGCTTTGTTACTGTTTTCTCCATGGAAGTAGAATGTAGGACGTCTTTACTTAGCCCAGTTCTTGATGGTTTTGCCTTCTCTGAGTAGCTAAGAGAAAACCAACAGGAATCAGTGACTTCGGTTTTTTCCCACATGAATCTGTAGGTACTCAATTCTCTCTTCCTGGAGGAGTCTTTGAGGTATCACAGTTAGTATAAAGGGCAAAAGCTTTCTGGACACTGGTAGAGATTTAACCAACGGACTGTGGTGGAATAAGTTTTTATGGGCCAAAGGAACATGTAAGAAATGCCATTTTAACTAGTCTGTTATATAAAGGAAGAACAAGGAAAAAGTAGGTTCTCATATGCAGGAGGATCAGAAGATGTTCACTCTAACAGGACATGCCTCAGTTTCATGCAGAGCCCCCAACCGTGCAAGATGAAAGTCAGATAGGATTCTTGTGGGAAGTTCCCACTGAATCTTTTTCAGATATGGGAACTCTCCTTTTTGGACTGGTGGTAAAGCAGCTAATCAGTCGCACAGATGTGGCTCCTTCGGATAGGACTTAGTCGTGCATACTTACTCCAGCCATTGGGTCTCCGATATTTACTCTATGCTTGCATAGTCCGCCTGCATCCCCCAGAACGAGCACTGGAAAATTTTAATTATAACTTTTCAATTGTAAAATCTGTTCCAAAACCGATATATTTAGAATCTCAGTAAGATCATGTTCTTGAAAAACAATGCAACTTATGTGGTTTGGGCTTCTATTTCAAACATAGCTGCAATATTTTCTTTTAGAATTGGCAATCATTGTCTCCTTTTTTGAATTAAAGTCAAATCCTGGATTTGATTTTGAAGCCTTAAATGCTTCTTTATACTCCTGCCCCCCCCCTTTTTTTCATATCTTAAAGTTGGAAGAATTCTCGCTACAGTTCACTATATCCCGGTTGTAATTAGGAAACAATGGTAAGGAATGATTCAGAAGAGCATCATCTTTGATGACATTTAGGATAAAAATAGCCCTGGTTTTCTTTATTCCGAACAATCACATGCATTCAGGCATTGAGTTACTAACTGATAATATATAGAAGGTAGAGCCAACCGCACAGAGTTTTAAGCGGCCCTATTTTCATGGGAGAGCTGAAGTTATTCAAAGGAACTAAATAATAGCATAATCCCCAAGGCCTCAGTCACAGTTACCCTGTAATCAATACAAAATAGGATCAGGAGAGAGAATGAACTACCCCAGAAAGAGAATTTTGCACAGAATAAAAGATTATCCTGTCAAGATACTAACTGCAGTGAGAGCCGAGAGTAATCAATTAATTAAAGATCATGACTTATTTTAAATTGATTGATTCATTAATTGATTAAGGATAAATAAATATTAAAGTTACCAGTGCTTGTGATCATTGCAAGAAGCATATCCGTTAATTGATTGGAACAACCGCACTGTAGTTAAAAGGAAGGTTAATTAAAACTAATTTACCTTTTAATTGTTAAGCTGCCCAGAGTCACCCCTCTGGGAGAGGTGGGCGGCATATAAATTTAATAATAAATAAACAAACAAACTTCTTTTTAGATTATGACATGATACTGTAGTAACATACCAGAAATAAAATAGTTTCAAATCAAATCAACTTGGTTATAGAGGCCAGCAAAGTAAAATAGTTTAATTCCTCCCTCCCCCAAACAAGTTTGGCTCCTAACTCTCAAGTGTATTGATTCTGATTTTTCCTCCAGAAGGAATATATAGATATATGTACACACATGCGCGCGCATTCCAACTAGTGCTTTATGGATTCAATGTATTGTTTTACATATCGGTGCCCATTCCCAACCATGCTGACATCAAAAGGACAAAATGAGCATTGTCCCCTCACAACACAAACTCTGCCCTTTCCTTTTTGCAAGGCAACATTGCAGACACGTATCTAAAGGACAGAGTTGATGTCACAACGCATGTTTGATTACTTTATTTCCACACACACAACTATGGGTTTAGCTTTATTGAAGAGTGTAATGGGATAGTATAATGTAACTTTTAGTATGTTCCTGGGTCTTCAGTCAACAAAACACTGTTTAGGGCTTAAGAGCCATTGGGTCATTGTTGCTGTGAAGTTATTCCTTGCTGTTACGTGCTGAGTTGAGAAAATTTTAAGAGGTGAACTTGATGAAACAGCTCCTCTGTTGAGATCCGAGCTTGTCTTATTCCCGCTTACGGGAGTTTGAGTTCCTGATTCTGAAGTGGCAATAAGGGTGCAAGCGAAGAATGAGGAAGAGGCTCCTTCTGAAGGGGAGGGACGCTGTAGGGGAAGCCATAAAAGCTGGAGGATTTGTTGCCTGCTTTATTCTTGTGCCCCTTTAGGGTTACGATTCCAGCAGACGCATATTTCGAAAAGTGGGTCTGCTGCCATCACACCAAGATTGGTCCTCAGTAACTAAAGTATGCAGGATAATCTTCTGTAGGTTGGTAGACATGAATACAAGCTGCTTGGTAAGGTAGTTTGGAAGTGTATCTTGGAGGTAGGTGATTTTTGTGGGTAAAAATACTAGAAAACGTATGTTTTGTTTTTTTTTATGTAATATGACTTGCATCCTGTTAAATACCATCTTCTAACAAAATATTTAGGTTGGTTTTAGGTGCAGACATAGAGGAGACAGGACACAAATAATGAAAAATAGTGTTAAAAATCTGCCTGCTATATGCTATATCTGCCTGTGAATTTGTAGATGAGATTCCTGGAACGTTTACAGGTTATGGAAGAGCTTGGAATTACGCTGTGCCAGTAGGTGGAAATTTACTTTTTTAGTCACTAAAACGGCTTTTGGCTGTTATTGGACAGATTTATGTTTATGATAATACCCTCCTGCCCATTTCCATTTAGTTTTTCTGCTGGGGGCTCTGCAGTCAATTCTTTGTTCTCCCTTTTCACATTTTACTCTACAACATTGTTCTTCGAATCCCTTGGAATTACGAAGTTGCTCAACCAGCAAGAATCGAATTGAACAAAGAAGATTAGAATTCACAAGGCAACCCTATTAGTTGGCCTGGTTTGCCCTCCCCTTAGCTCATTCTTATCCGTGGGTGTCAGGGGATCAGAAATCCCCATT